CTTAGCAACCACCTACTAGTTTCAGCTGTCAGGAAAAAAATATTAGTTGTGGAAGTCTTTGGCGACTGACGACTTTTTCGAACCAAGTGCGACCCCCTCCGCTGGGGATTCCCCAACGTCTTACATGGTCTGATTCCAGATTCTTGCAATTGCATTCATGGCTCCAAGGAATGAACCCTAATTTTGCATTCGATTTCAAGAAGTGGACGAGAAATACGTGAAAAACTGTGACGACATTTGGCTTTTCTGGGTCGCGCTACAGCGTGAGTAGCTGCGGAGGTCTCATATCTAGAAGTGATCACACTTCACTAGAGTCAAACTGTACAATCACGACTGGCGGTGGAGGCCCGAATCAATGCAGCCTGGATGAAATGGAGGGAGTCCACTGGCATCCTCTGCAACCGATGGTGCTCGAGAACGCTCAAACGCTCAAGAGCAAGGTGTACGGGTGTAAGGCCTGCAATGCTCTACGGCAGTGAGAGCTGGTCCATATGCAAGAACCATGAAAGGCAGCTCCACTCAGCTGAAATGAGGATGCTGAGATGGGCCTGCGGCTGGACACGACTCGACAGAGTCAGAAACGAGGACGTCAGGGCGGTCACACAGACGGCTCCGATCCAGCTGAAGGCACGAGAGCAGCGACTGCGATGGTATGGGCACGTACTGAGGAGGCCTGAAGACCACCCAATAAGTAAGGCACTGGAATTCGAAGCATGATGGAGAGACGTCATCAGGAAAGCAAGATGGAGAGACGTCATCAAGAAGGACCTCACTGAAGTGAAAGCCACGGCAGAAGATGCAGTGGATCGGAACAAGTGGCGACGTCTAACAGGAACAGCGGACCCTGCGACGGCGCGGGACTAAGGCTAAGGAGAAGAAGAAGAAGATAAAAATGTGTCGCATTATGGTGTATTGTTTCCCCAGCATTACCCTTCAAAAGTAAAAGTGTTTACCTCTGAACGACGGTAGAAGTGACGGGTGAACGTTGATGATTCTGCCACGCCATTCTTCAACAAAACAAGCCGAAAGTACCCTCATATAGCCAGCAAGGCAAATGAGTTGGACACCTCTCGCACGGAGAGCCTGGAATAGAAACAGATCAATGTATTATTGATGTAGAGTCAATATCTCGGCACCTGAGACTGCGTGCTTACGGTTATTACTGGGCTGGGTTTGGCGCGGTTCCAGCGCGTTCTCCACCACTTGTTGAAACGCGGGCGGCACATATGTTGGTGAAAAAGTGGCTAGCGCCGCGCCAAGCTCAGCACTCTGACACACCTCAGCGTCTGAAGCAAACTACAGTCGTCATCCGGGCAGGTGATTAGAGCGACTCGGCTTCCGGCTATTTGCGACGCCTCATTCGCCTGATCACCACTCCAAATGCTCCGACATAAGCGGACCAAAAATTCCTACGCCACTGGTGGAGTTGAGGAGGGAAGACGTGGTCATTCAAATGACCGATGGTCGCCGAACCGTGAACATGATCCTCACCATGCGTTTCAGTGTTTGCGAGACATACTGCTCCGCAATGGTGTACTCTTCCTTGTCCCTATCAGACATGGTCGGCACACGGTCGGGGTTCTCGATGTAGTCCTCAAGCAGTTGCCTGTAGCGCTTGAACTTAGCGCAGACCCGACGCTCACCTGTCGTCCAGCCGGGTCCCGCGAAGATCTTCTCCGCAGCCTCTTCAGATCTTGTCTGAGCTCCACCGGGGTGGCCCACGGTTTTCTTCGCCCGCAGCAGTGTCTGAAAATGTGACGCACTACCTTGAGGCGGGGGAAGTCGTCCAGAGAGAGTAACGTCTCTGCGAATTGCGCCACAGCCGCGTTGGTGGAGGTTGTTACGATGACGGTGCTGCCCGGCTTTGCTGTTAGAGCTGCGATCAGCGACCCGACCAGCGTCTTACCCGTGCCGAAAGCAGCCTGGAGGGCGACTATGGGAAGGTTACCCGTACCGACGCGGACGGCGTCTTTTTGGTCCCGGGTCAGGGTAATTCTACGGCCACTGACCCGGAAGGATCTGTCCGTGTCAGACGGGGGAGGGAGATCTCTTAGGTACCGTTCATCACTTGTGCCGAACTGCATATTCGCGAAGACGATATCTATTATTCGGCT